AAAATTTAAATTTAATAAAAATTTTAAAATATTACGAGAATATTAGAATTTTATATTATTTTTATGTCATTAAAATAATGATTATATCATTATTTAGTATAAAATATGATATTATTATAATAATTACTATGTTATTTTTGTTATATTTATAATATTCTAAAAATTTTACTAAAATTTCAACCCTGGTCTGAAATTTTACCGTATTTATGACTTTTTTTTTGGGCCTTTTCAAAATGGACAAGCTGGAGCCCAAAACGCAGGTTACAACGAAGCCCAAAACGCAGGTTACAACGAAGCCCAAATTCTCGAGCAACCAAGGAAGGTCTCCGGGAATGAACGCAAAGAGACACAAACCCGTCTTTTGACTCTTTTGTACTCTTCGCCGTTAACCAAAGCGATTCCGACATTCCATTTTGACAGTTGGTCTCGCAGTCACTGCTGAATTCCTCTTTCCTAGGGGAACTTTGTATAAATAGACTAAGTAAAATGTGTTTTTAAGTAAATAAACCACCAAAAAAATAAATTGGGTAAATAATCCAACTTTCACGTCAGCATTCCACGTCATCAATTATGGTTTTAGGGTTTTCTTTCTCCTCCTCCTCTTCCATTTCGCGCCATTTTGTTCTCCCAGCCGCCTTCAATTTCTCCTCTCTTCTTCTCAAGTCATCGTCATCGCATAACCTCATTAATATTATTATCTTGCCTATTCAACATTTTTTTTCTCGTCCAAAACGAAGTTTGAAGAAGAGCTACTAAGTAAGTCTTTCATTTTCTATATCTCTCATGGTATTTTTCGTTGTTTTTCATATGTTTTTAAGATGAGAATGTAGTTAAAAATCCATTAAAATAGTAATTTTACATGTTAAAAGACTAGTTTACATTGTCTGATATGATGAAGATCCGCCGGGTTTAGAAAAAAAAAGGTTTGTTCTTGGTCGGTTCGTGGTCTGTTCTTAGTCTGTTCTTGGTCTGTTCTTATAACATGGTCGGTTCTGGTCAGTTCATGGTCTGTTCTTATAACATGGTCGGTTCTGGTCGGTTCTTGGTCTGTTCTTATAACATGGTCGGTTCGTAGTCTATTTTTGGTCTGTTCTTAGTCTGTTCTTGGTCTGTTCTTAAAACATGGTCGGTTCGTGGTCGGTTTTGGTCTGTTCTTGGTCTGTTCTCATAACATGGTCAATTCTTGGTCTGTTCTTGGTCTGTTCTTGGTCTGTTCTCATAACATGGTCAGTTCTTGGTCTGTTCTTGGTCTGTTCTTATAACATGGTCGGTTCTTAGTCTGTTCTTGGT